GGGCAGAGAGGAGGTGACCACCAGCCCAGAGGATTTGGTCAGTACTGCAGCCAACAACAACAAAGTCAGTTTGGTTCAATTAGAGAACAACAGACGAGCGTCTGTGGCGTCATCCGACCACAGTCGACGGAGAGATAAACCGCCCCGAACCGGAGGTCGGAGGTCGGACAGGACTAAAACATCACGACAACGAGGAAACCAAGCCGACAGAAGACGACGATGTCGAATGGCTGAGATTCCTGTAGTATTTTAGTTTGCATATTACACAGACTGGTGTACTTTGATTCAAGAGAACGAGAACGGGAACGAGAACGAGAACGGGAACGAGAACGGGAACTACGAGAACGAGAACGGGAACGGGAACAGTTCTTACTGTGCTGAGGGGACAACGTCCCAGCATGCACCAGGACAACGGTGCAGCACAATTCTGCTGGAGAGTCATGGGTTTGATTAGAGCGTCTGACGCTACCGTGGCCAAAAGGTGGCGCTCTCCAGCAGTGACGAGTTTCCCACCAAAGACCAAATTTTTCGTAGAGTAATTGTTAAAAGACAGCAAAGTATTTCGTTTAAAAAAAGTACGCAGGTTCCGTTCTCTTCGGCCGTTCTCGCCGCTAACCAAAAGACACGAGCTAGAAAAAATTTGCGCGAACTTCGAAACGCAGCACCTTCTTCAGCCTGGCTGACGATGACGCAGCTGACGGAGACTTTGTCCCCGATCCAAACCGTCAGCAAGGGATTTTTACTGTTAAGTATCAAGGCTTCGTGAATATTCTCCGGGAGTTGAGCAACACGACACTGAGTACGTATACACGTGGAAACGGATCTCTGGAAAAAAACTGTGAACATGTCTGTGCCTGATAGGTTCTGGGCTATGAGGTAGAACCTGCTGAGTTTCATTTAGGTTAAAATACTGTCTGTTGTGAGTGTGTAGTTGTATCATGAGGTATTGTACGGATGTGTCACACCGAGCTTTGTACTGGCAGAAAAAAAAATCATTCCTTGTGAGACGTGACCTGCGGCCACATGTGCAAAAACAGGTCAGGTAAAAAGGTGATATGACAAGCGTCTTCTTAGAGCTTTCACATTATCAATTATTGCAACATGCCTATATATCTCTGTAAATATGTTTTATAAAGCATTAGACAAAAAAAAAAAAAAAAAAAAAGAGAGAGAAATCAATGAGAAGGCCTTGATTATTGTGACCTCCTGGAAAAAAAAGAGTTCGTTGTTTCTGCCTTTGCTCGGAAGAATCGCATTTTCTCTGCATCCGATGCTTCGCTGCCACAAAACGGAGAGAAAACATCGAGGCCAGAAACGTTCCGGGTTGGGATGAGCTGATTTTCAAAAATGGTTTAAATGCTTCTTAAAGCTCCGGGCCTAAAAATCACACCTGGAGGCCTGGTCCTGCTCTGGACTACACTTCAAACTCTCCTCCATGTCGTCGGCCGGTGCCTCCTCGGCGTACTGGGCCTCGAAGGCCATCCCCTCCGACGCCTCCTCCTGGTCTTTCCGGCCGGCGCTCCCCTCCGTCCTCTCTGGAGAATCCACCTGGATGTTGCTCTCCGACGCCCCCATGTGCTTCTTCCTCAGGTGCTGGTTGAGGGTGCCCTGAAACGGGAAGCATTTCCCGCAGATCTGACAGTGGAAGGGTTTGTTGTCCGTGTGGCCCCGGATGTGGTACTCCAGCTGGTCCTTCCTGGTGTACTTCTTGCCGCAGAACTTGCAGACGAAGGGTGTGATCCCCATGTGCAGGCGCATGTGTCGGTCCAGGCTGCCTTTCTGGTTGAAGGTTTTCCCGCAGTAGATGCAGATCAGTCTCTCGTTGTAGGGATACCACTGGCTGCGCAGGCTGCGCTCGCGCACGTCGTTCTCCAGCCCGGGCGCTCCGGCGGGCGACTCTTTGTCATCGGGTTTCAGGTGACTCAGCATTCCCGCCGGGATCACCACGGGGCGCTTTGAGCGGGCTCGTCCGCCTCGGTAGCCGCTGAGCATGGAGCGCGAGGGACTGGAGCTGTTGATGTTGACGAAGCACGGCGAGGTCAGCCCCGAGTACGAATAGGTCGCCGGTTGGATGACGGGGCAGTAGGAGCCCACGCTGACGGCCAACACCTGCTCCCCGTCCACCAGCTCCGTGTGGTAACCGTCGTCGCCGGCCGAGGAGCTGTCGGAGTAAGACGGTCGGTCGGGTTTCTCCACCTTCACGTGCACATCCGTTACTTGCCCGTCTTTCCCGATCAGCTCCACCTGCTCCGTTTCTCCCTCCATGGGATTATCGTGCTCCGACACGCCGTCGCTGCTGCCGCGGTCCGACTGGCCTTCTTCCTGCTGCTGCTGCTGTCGCCCCCGACCCGCGCCGTGTCCTCCTTGGTTCTGCCGGGAGAAGTAAGGGGGGGAGATCTGGGTAGGGTTCACAAAGAGGTTGCTGTCGTTGTCCCCGTTGCGGCTGGTCGGCAGCTCGTCCTTCTCTGGGGTGCCGACCGGGAGGCTGATCTTGGAGTGGAGGCGTTCCAGGACTTGCGTGCATTTGTCGATGATGGACTGCATCTGCAGGAAGCTGGCGGCGGTCAGAAAGCTGATGATGTCCTTGAGCTGCAGGGACATGTGACCCGTGTAGCAGAACGCCAGCAGCTGCTCGAAGACCTCGGGACTTTTGATGACCGAGATGGAAAGGCCGCTCATCGTGCTGAGGGCCGAGTGGTCGCGGAAGTAGGGCGAGCTAGCCGCTAGCACGGCCTTGTGGGCTCGGAACGGCTGGCCCTGAATGTGGACGATGATGTCACATGCCCCGGCGGCCGCAGCTCGTTGAGCTGCGTCAGGACGGTGTTGCTGAACTCCGGCACATCAAACTCGATGTAGCTGCCGTCGTCCATTTCTTGAATGTGTTTCTCCAGTTTGGCAGCGTCCTAAAAAAAAAAAAGACAAAAGTTAAAATGTTCCTCCTTAAAGGCACAGACTAACGTGGTGTTGCGTCACATTTGGCCGTCGTTCTGACCGAACATGGTCGGACATTTTCCAGACGCCGACATGAGGACGTGGCCTAACATTTGTAAGCGGACAAACGCGTCCGTTCACCCCGGTCACCGTGACCTGATCTCGCCTGCGTCTTCGTTCCCTCTTCCTGTTTTTCTGGCGTCACTTTGGTCTGATCAACATCAACAGCGTCGGCGTTTCCTGTTATTCTGGTCCTTGGTACTTTGGTACCGATGGCCCCACCCCCGCCGTACGGGATCATCCGTTCACAACAACTACTTTCTTTGGTCAGTAATCTGTCTGTTAACGACTGATTAATGATTATTCTGAGGGACATTTACGTGTCTGTTGATAAGACAAGAAAAAACAGAACAGAACATAAATGACCTTTTGACCTTACAGAACATAAATGACCTTCTGATCTCCCTTACAGAACATAAATGACCTTCTGACCTCCAACACAAACGCCCACTTTGATCATTTCCACTTCAACCTAACACTCAGGTGTCAAACTCATTTCCACTAGGGGGCGACATCAGGATCACAGTTCCCCTTGAAGGGCCTGTTGTTTAAATGTTAGACTGTACAGATCAGGGGTCCCCAACCCCTGGTCCGTGGACCAGTACCAGTCCACAGGTCACGTGGTGTCGGGACACAGTAAAAAATGTACTTCATTTTTACTCATTTTACTCGAAGAAAATCCAGTCATAGACAAGTACCAGTCCACAGGTCACGTGGAGTCGGGCCGAGTACCAGTCCACAGGTCACGTGGTGTCGGGACACAGTAAAAAATGTACTTCATTTTTACTCATTTTACTCTAGAAAATCCAGTCATAGACGTCAATCTGGACATATTTTAAAATAACAGCTAACAGCTAACAGCTAACAGCTGGTACTAGCTGACCAGTCCTTTGAACAATAAAGGTCGGGGACCTCTGGGACAGATGTGTCTACTCTCTAGCTGACCAGTCCTTTGAACAACAAAGGTCTACTCCGTCACAGAGTATTATTTATTCAAGCTCCAAATATTGTTCAGTGCTGTGAAATAAAAACAACTTTATTTTTTTAAGGTTAAGAAACTCTGCTGCTGCATGGACCACACAACACAGCTTGGTGGACCACATTTGGGCCCCGGGCCTTGAGTTTGACAACATATGACCTAAGACATCCATCAACTTTCACTAACTCGACCGCATTCGACAGTGAAATGTCACATTTGCATGAGTTCAGTATAAACGTATACAGTATAAATATATACAGTATAAATGAATACAGTACTATCATGAGTACACAGTACTCATGAGTATACAGTATTCATGAGTACACAGTATAATAGCCTGACAGAACAAACCTGTTCTAAGGCAGAGTTAGTGTCTGTGAACATGGTATATGGTATAAATGACTGACTATTGTGAGTTCATAACTGAAGCCATATGTTCTGTAATAATGGAGCCCCCCGGAGACAACAATGTGTACTGCAGCTACACAGAACATGGAACCAGAACACCACTGTTGACTTGAGGCAGCCTCGGTGGATCATATCAGGTAGTACACACTATAACTTGAGGCAGCCTCGGTGGATCAGGTACACACTGTGTGTACTACAGTGTGTACTACAGTGTGTACTACAGTGTGTACTACAGTGACTGAAGCCAAGTACAGGTTCATATACTGCACTGCCATTGGCCCAGAAAGAGGAAAATCTGGTTCAACCTGGAACATGATCTGAAAACCAAAGTGTGGATTAAGGCTAGAGCTGGGGGGGGGGGGGGGGGGGGGGGGGT